TAATATTTTATTAATATATTTTATTAAAAAAGTAGTTTTATCTTAAATTAATGGACTTAATTGAATTATAATTTTAAGTTTTAATTAAATGTAACTGGGGGATGTTTCAAATTTTAATATTAGTGATCAAATGTAAATGTTTTGAGGATATTTTTTCATGTTTTTAAAAATCAATTTTAACCAAATATTAAACCCTTTATTTGCCAGCCTATCTGTGTCGTTGGCCTTATGACGAGGAGTGCCTGTGGGTTATCCTAATCGTTGTCTTGGTCACTCTTGGTTGGGCCTGGTTGACTTTGCCAGTCAGCTCCTACAGTGATCAATTGGCCACCTCTAGATCTGTGTTTGCCGGTCTAGACGTAATCGGTGCACTTACTTGAAGTGCCGGGTTGCAGCGATCCCAGAACGTTGATAACGTGATCTGATCCCTAAGTTGAGAGCTGTCTTCCTGTAACGCTTCCGAATAAGAGGTCCTGGTCGAAAGAGTTGAAAGATACGAGATTAGTTGGTCGTTGGAATCCTGATCGCAGTAAAGTGGTCCTTGGTAACTGCACAAGAGTAAAACATGTCTGCATCGCCAGTAGTCTGCTAATAGGGAGGGCTGTGCGATTAAAGGCTTCCATCGATTGGGTAGTATCCTTCAAGTGGGTGGCGAAGAGCCAGTCGGGCCTATGTCATGAAGGTTTCTCCGACCGCTTAATGGTTTGCTGCTTGACTAGCCTAGGGAAATGTTAATAAAGGTAAAGTAAATTTTTTTAATGACATATGGGGCACAAAATAACTGGTGTCTTTGTAAATGTTCTGTTTTTTTAAATATAAAACTTCTACTTTAGTCTTTAAAATATGTACTGTTTTTTGTTTTTTTTTTGTTTCGTTTGTTTGTTTTTTTCCCCCCCTTTTGTACTGAGCTCAGTTAGACTAATACTTTAATGTTAAAATCTGAATGTCCTCTAGCATTTTGCTTACAAGCAATATGCTCTTTGCTTATTTCGTGCCCTGACATAATTTTTGAATTTTGATAGAATACAAGTGTGGTATATGCCATGTTTGTACTTTATCTAACAACTTCTCTTTCAGTAGTCTTGTTTTTATACCATGTGGTTGTTTGTGTGTCACCTTTCCCCTTCTCTCCTTAACATAACTGTCTTGTGTTAAGGATCTCAAAGATTTCATGAGACAAGCTGGGGAAGTGACCTTTGCGGATGCACATCGACCTAAATTAAATGAAGGGTGAGTGTGCTGGAGATTGTGAGCCTTTTCAAATGTCCAGAAAAGTATTACTCTGGATATTGCTAGGGCTTTAAATTTGCATGTGCTTTGATTATGGTAGTTCCCTGCATTTGGTAGTTTGAGAAGACAATAATTTTATTTATTTTTTTGAGGTAGGGTCTCATATGTAGCCCTGGCTGGCCTGCTCTGCCCGTGCCTCCCACGTGCTGGTATTAAAGGCATGTGCTAGCATGCCTGACTGGTCAGCAAGTTTTAACATGATGGTTGCTAATACTGGCTTTTATAGGGACCTGGCATACTTACTGTTCACAGTACATGGAAGGACACCTCACAATAGTTGTCTAGGTCAAAACTTTGCTGTGTTGCTTGTCAGACTCTAATACAGCAGTAGCAGAGTGAACAGGGCAACTGCTGCGTCTCTAGCTGTGTATATATAGGGTCCAAGCCTGGGTGGTGGATGTGCTTTAAAAGTTTTTTTAATCCTTTTCATTTTAGGGTGGTTGAGTTTGCCTCTTACGGTGACTTAAAGAATGCTATTGAAAAACTTTCTGGAAAGGAAATAAATGGGAGAAAAATCAAATTAATCGAAGGCAGCAAAAGGCACAGGTATTTTATCAATATTTTTAAGCCTAAAGTTTTGCTAACTGGGTTTGTAGAGCCCTGTCATGTATGTTGATTTTGTTTCTTTCCCCTTCACCTTTTTCATAGTAGGTCAAGAAGCAGGTCGCGATCTCGGACCAGGAGTTCCTCTAGGTCTCGTAGCCGATCCCGTTCCCGTAGAAGCAAGTCTTACAGTCGATCAAGAAGCAGGAGCCGGAGCCGGAGCAAGTCTCGTTCTGTTAGTAGGTCTCCTGTGCCTGAGAAGAGCCAGAAACGTGGTTCTTCAAGTAGATCTAAGTCTCCAGCTTCTGTGGATCGCCAGAGGTCCCGATCTCGGTCCAGGTCCAGATCAGTTGACAGTGGCAATTAAACTGTAAATAACTTGCCCTGGGGGCCTTTTTTTAAAAACAAACAATTCCCAAACCATACTTGCTAAAAATTCTGGTAAGTATGTGCTTTTCTGTGGGGGTGGGGTTTGGAGGGGGGTTGGGCTGGGCTGGATTTCTTTGTAGATGTGGACCACCAAGGGGTTGTTGAAAACTAATTGTATTAAATGTCTTTTGATAAGCCTTCTGCTCACATTTTGTGAATGTCTGAAGTATATAGTTTGTGTATATTGACAGAGCTCTTTTATAACTAAAGCAAATTTAATTTTTTGTACTAGAAAAAAATTTTTGAACATTTTAGTTCATGGTTCAAATAATGTTAATTCAAGATTAGTTTAATTTCTAAATTAAACTAATGGCTTTGGACACTTTAAAAGAGCTCTAGATTTGCTTGTATATAACGGCTTAATTTGAGTTTTCCTTGTTAGGGTCAAGGGTGTCCTCCCACTATTAACAGCTGCAGGACAGACATTGAAGTAGCTGTTTGTTATTGATAATAAAATATCAAATAATAAAACTGCTTTTGGTCTGTGTTTCTCAAGAAGTCCTATACTGTTTCCTTGTTCTACTCCCTTCAGCGGATGCTACATTTAAAACACAGCACATGTAAATTCTGGAAGTTGTTTGCTGTGGTCTTTTAAGTAGTGTTTTGAGTATTTGCAGCTAGTGAAAGGGCTAAGAAGTCAGTGAACTATTGAAAACTGACAAACGATTGTTGGCGTTATGTCTGTGTTCTGTCCTTGCTTTCCCTTTGTTGCCTGACACGTTGTATTGGCATCAAGTTACCCCAGTGGCAGAGAGGACAGTGTGCTTGGGAAACAAAGTATAGAATCTAATGCAAATCCTGCTTGCCTTCCTTAACTGTTGTAACATGGTTTGGATGGTCATAGATGATAGCTTGTCAGTAAATGTGACAACTTAAGGGATTTTTGCATGCTGTGCTGCTTTTAGTATGTAACTATATGTTAAATCAAACATTGTAGTAATGAAAGCCATTTAAAGTCTGTATCCATGTGAAAGTGATAAGAGCCCTATACTTGAGCATCAAACTGCCCTAGAAGTACAGGAAGTAAAACTCCAAAGTCTCAACTCTCAGGCCTTCAGGTGCTAGGCCTGAGGAGTATTTAATACTAGCTTTAACCCCTCACTAAACTTTTAAGTGCTTACTCCATATATTCAGTGAATCCTTAGAACTATTACCACTTCCAAGGAAGAAATCCAGGGACTTTTCAGAGGACAAACTTAAAGGGTAGACTATTAGAATTCAGGAATTCTGGTTCTAAGCAATCCCAGAATTAGACTCTCACTTCTGTTCTGTGGAATGGAAGTAGGAAAATAAACTTAACTGACTCCCTCAGAGCTGGTGTTGAGGGGTAAGAATTGGCAGTTGGGAGTAGGTTTGGAAAAAGTTGACAGCCTGGTGTAAAGGATTATGATTATCCCTGCTGCTTCTAGTACTAGAGACAGGGACAATGCTGATCCTTACAGTAGGCCAGGTCTAGGACTTGTGTACTTGCTTACTTGAGGGGACTGGGCTGACTGGGTCTGAAGTAGCTACTGAAGGCATACTTCTCCTTCGGACTTTACAGATGTACTTGGAGCAGTTAACTTTATTTCTCATTACTCCTAGGTTAGTAATTAGAGGCTTGCTACTTTTGTTGTTGTTGTCTTCTTTGAGACGGGGTCTCCCAGTAGCCCCAGCTGGCCTGGAACTCAGAGATCCTCCAGCCTCTGCCTCCCAACAGCTGGGTGGGATTAAAGGCATGTGCCACCATGCCGGGCAAGGCTTGCTACTTTTTAAGTGAGAATAAAGTCCCTCTGAAAAAATGGCAGAAGTAACTAATTGTTGTACAACATGGGTCATTTTGAATTAATTTTTTTTCTGTGGGTCTGGGCATGTGTTATGGCACGTGTAGGTCAGAAAAGTTGTATCTGGGTCTTGGGAGAATTGAACTCAGGTTGGTAGCAGGTGTCTTTTACAGGCTAAACTATCTCACCAGCCTTTTGGTGGGGACACTGAACCACCATACTCTAATACACAGCTTCATGATTTGAGTAGTGTAATTTGGTGGCGGGGGTGTCTCCCAGTAGCCCCAGGTTGTCTGGAACTCACTATGTAGACCAGGTTGGCCTTGGAATTCAGAGATTCACTTGCCTCTGCCTCTGTGTGCTACCACACCCACTGCCAAATCTTTTTAAAATGCAGAGTCTTGAGTAGCCCTGGCTGGCCTAGAGCTTCAAGAGATACCTCTGCCTCCACCTTCTAAGTGCTGGGAGGTGGCTTAGCTGTTAAGAGCACTGGCTGCTCTTGAGCAGAGGACCTGCATTCGATTCCCAGCACCCACATGTCAGCTAACTGTCCATATCTCCAGTTAACACCCACTGCCAAATCTTTTTAAAATGCAGAGTCTTGAGTAGCCCTGGCTGGCCTAGAGCTTCAAGAGATACCTCTGCCTCCACCTTCTAAGTGCTGGGAGGTGGCTTAGCTGTTAAGAGCACTGGCTGCTCTTGAGCAGAGGACCTGCATTCGATTCCCAGCACCCACATGTCAGCTAACTGTCCATATCTCCAGTTACGGGGATCCGAGGTCCTTTCCTGACTCCTCGGGCATTGCATGAAATGGGTGCACTTGCACACATGTGGGCAGTACACTCACATAATATTTTGTGCTGGACGTGGTGGTGCACATCTTTAATCCCAGCACTCGGGAGGCAGAGGCAGGCAGATCACGGAGTTCAAGGCCAGCCTGGTCTACATAGTGAGTTCCAGGACAGCTGGGGCTACCTGGAACCCCAGCTGGGGAGACCCTGTCTCAAAAAGACGCCCCCAAAATTTTTAAACAAAAGGCTATTGGGGCTGGAGAGATGGCTCAGTGGAGAGAT